AGACAGCCTAGAATGCTAATTCATTCTGTTCAGCACTTAGGAGGTAAACTAGCTTTACACCAGCTAACTACTGGCACTTAGGTTGCTGGCTCTTCCAGTCTCATCCACCAGTCTCACCTTGCCCCATCTCATATTGTGATGCTTTGCAACCAACCAGGTCCAGTGCTCTCTGCACACATAAATGCAGCTATGTTTTCCCCACCAAAGTGGTACCCATTTATTTTCTTGCAATAGCAATAACACTTAGACTTATAGACAACTTCACAGCGTTTTACAGCCCTCAGTGATTTACAGAATCAGCATATAGCCCCTTACAATGTGGGTTTTCATTTTACCAATCTTGGAAGGATAGAAAGCTGAGTCAACCTTGAGCCAGTCAGGATTGAACTCCTGGCTATGGGCAAAGTTAGCTTGCTGTACTGCATTCTAACCACTGTGCCATCATCTCTTTCACCAACAGAATCTAAATACCTTTCCTCTTTTTTTTCTTTGTGAGAACCAGGAAGAGTGAATAGAAGCTTTCTCAAATTACAATTCTGCCCTGGACTCATTTTTTTTTACTGTCTTGGTTGTGGCTCTTCCTCCTGCTCTTCAAGGTTATTCTTACAGCCTGTTACAGTACTACTCTTTCGGTGGCTTCCATAATTATTCTCTTGTTGAAGTGTTCTGTTTTGGAGATTAATTTGGTTTCTTCAAAATCAATTTCATGTCCTGTGGCTTTAAGGTGCTGGAAAAACCATTGAAATAGAGAAACAACCCCACAACATGAATAAACATGATGATACCTCCTGCCTACCAGATATCTGGAAACCAGCCCTAGTCAACAAATGAACTCCACTCACCACCCAAGTCATTACAACATAAAAGAAAACACCAGCCTGAAGATGGTGAGTGGCACCTCGCCGAAACGTTGTCCTGACAATCTCAATCTTACATGGGACCCGAATACAACAAGACCAGCACACCTACACCCATGAAAATCTACACACACACACGGGTAAGTACGTACATACGTACGTACATACGTATGTACGTACGTACGTACGTACATACATACATACATACATACATACATACAAACAAAAATAAACTTCATTTATTTTAGAAAATTATTACCCTTTTGCCCAGTGGTGGGATTCAAATAATTTTACAACCGGTTTTCTGCCCTAATGATTTATTCCAACAACCAATTCACCAAACTTTTCAGAAAGTTAACAACCGGTTCTCCCAAAGTGGTGCAAGCTGGCTGAATCCCACCACTGCTTTTGCCACTTGCTTTATCACACCATTTATAATAAGATCAGGCCCTAGACTCTCTGAAGACATATTTTACGTTTGAAGGAGAGACAGAAGGGAGGAGAGAGTTCTGAAGCTTTTCTTTGGTCTCAACCTAAAAATTCATAAGAGTTAATACTAGTTTTACTGTTTAGAAACCTTTTACCTTCCTTCAGCTCTAGTGCAGCTAAGTATCTTGCACAAAATGCCTGGCAATTGTTGTTTGAATTATTCATTAGATAGAGTAAGCAAAATGAATACTTGACTTTGGTAACAATGGTGAGCTTGGGTAAAGTGAAGGAAGACTAAATGTATTTTTAGTCTTGTTGGATGTATTATTCCCATCCACCAAATGTTACTTCAATCATGCAGAAGAGAGGAAAGATAAGAGGGTGCTCTACTTTCCACCTGTATTTTGCTGCTTTTATGTTGTATTTATTTATTAGAGTTTTTAAGTTGCCTATAACTCCAATGGACTCAGTACATAGAAGGCTTAAGCTGGAATAACCAAAGGTCATTCCCTTTGAAACTGTCTACCCGCTGTATTATTTCTAGTGGCTCTGGATAGTTCTGTTCTTTGAGTAGATATAGAGATGGTAGATGTAGGTTGTTGGTATTGGTCTCTGCCCTATTTAATCTCCTGTCTATTGTTCATAACTTTTCTTTTCCTGTTTTGGTCCCATTTTCTCTTTTCAAAGACTAGGGAAGATGAGGAATGACTTTATACTTCATGCAAAACTGCTTCAAATAGGTGTACACAGAAATAGAGTTTCACATGATAGAATGGAATAACTAAGCATTGTTATATGCTTTCCTAAACACAGAAACTGTACTTGGTAGGTGGTAACCATGGTTCGGGAAGAAAGTAATGAATGAAACAAATAAGACTGCCATATACACAAATGTTCTTAGGAGGGAGGTGAGGGGGTAGAAGAGAGACAGAAAATTGATATGGTCTATGGAACTTGGGAAAAAGAAGACCACAGCTGGAAAATTAAGATGGATTCAGGCAATTTAGCTGCTGAAGAGCCACAGATTCCAGGGTGGCCATTTATATTTTGGTGCTGTATAATACTCTGGATCAATGAGATCACTGTTACTTAAAGAGAGTAACAGATTTTGAGAGATCATATGTACTTGACAAGAAAACCTCTCCAAATATAATATTTTTGCTAGTTATGATTGTCAGCACAATGTAATTAAAACCTTTGTTTAATGAGCTGTGGTGGTGCAGTGGACAGAATGTGGTACTGCAAGCTGCTGATTGATGGCTGCCAGCAGTTTGGCAATGTGAGTGTCACCGGTTCAAGGTTAACTCAGCCTTCCATCCTTCCGAGGTCGGTAAAATGAGGACCCAGATTGTTGGGGGCAATATGCTGACACTATAAACTGCTTAGAGAGGGCTGTAAAAGCACTATGAAGTGGTATATAGGTTTATGTGCTATTGCTATTAACACTAAAGATGGACTGTAGCAATAGTTGTACACATACAATGGTGTTAGTTATGTGCATATTGCTACATTGTAGACTAGACGCACTGAAATAGCAGGAGAAGAGAAACAGATTGGAATGGTAGAATAAAATAAGTCTACATTCAGTTGCTACATTTCAACTTTTCTTCTGAAGTCTCTGCAGCCAGACAAAGGAGGGAGGAGAAATCTTTTTTTGCTTATCTGCTTAAATTAATGCTCTTTATATTATCACCTTGCTTGAGAAGGTGATAGAGAAACTATCTTTGAGTTATGGCCTAAATGCCAAAAAATGGTTCAGAAGAAGGTCTTTGTGTGCTGAAATGTATCTTGTTGGATCCTGAAATCTCTAGCAAAGCTTCCACCTGTGTTACTATTCATATTTCAGAAATAATTTGAAAGAATTCGCTTAATAAAGAGAATGCCTTTTGTACTTTTATCAGGTTTAAAAGACATCCTGAAAAATGTTAGATTAATTTGATGAATAATAGAGAGGAGATTCATTTATATTTATGTAAAGTCTGAAGCATCTCTTTCAAATAATTTTTTAAATAGGCAAGTTGTAATTCATAGCCCACATGCAGATATATCACACACATAATCGTATAATTGCAATTAAACCAACAAATATATATTGTACAAACACACACCCCTAAATAGTTTTATATGGACAATTAAACATTAATACCAAGGGTGAAAGTGAACAGAATGTAGACAGATATTTTATAAGACGATTTAGAATCTCCACTAAGTGTATCTTCCACAGCTAATCCTGATTTGCGAATGTATAATATGTGAAATGAGCCTTAACTCTCTAGGAGACAACATTGTGGGGATGCAAATAACTTAGTCCAAGTGGTGCTGAGTTTCTGTGACACAAACACCACTGCAGCCCTTTTCAAGCAAGCAACTGTATGCATTAAATTACACCTTTCGAGGTGCCTGGAACATACAAATGAAGGCATCAGTGTGTGTGTGTCTGTGGATCATTATTTTGTGCCTTTGTGAAAACATACCATAAGTACATTTGTCACTGGTTAACATATGATGAACATTCTAAAAGTGTTCATTTTAAAGTGTGTACAACAATTTATATTTTAAAAGAGAATGAAGAAAAACTGCTTGGAGATTAGGGAAGGGGGCTAAGTGTTGGAAATTTCTAATTCATTATCATTCATTACCATTATTTTCATCTTCATAAAACAAGGAAGAAAAACCCATGGTTTTTCAAAGTTTTTTTTTTCCTTAGGAACCCCCCCCCCCCCCCGCTCAAAAAAATTGAATTTAAAATTGCAGAGACATATTGTAACAGCTTTAAAATACTCCTGGGCATGTTTTAATGGTCCATTAATATACACCTCAGGCGGCTGAATGTGTGCGACTGCAAATCCACGACGGGTATTAATGAACTACTAAAACATGCCCTGCCGTGTGCTTGCGTTGTATGGCAATGCTACATTGTCAGTGGAGAATGAAAAGTTTAAAAAGACCCTTTGAAACACCACCGATTCCAAAAGAACGCTTGATGAATTGCTTTTGTGTCTTTGTACATACACACATAAGGGAAGAGATCTGTTCAGATATGGAAATAAGTTCCCCTATGTAATAAGAAAATAAGCCAATGGCAGGAAACAGTTATTGAAACCAAGCGGCAATCCATTGCACCTCAAAATAATGCAAAGCTTTGTGTTGATTTCTATCCATCTATGCCAGGGAGGCAAGGTTCAGGAAACCCAGGAAGAAAAGGACCAGAACGGAGACAGGAGAACATGGGAGTTTCCACTTCCTCGAATCTTGATCTCCCAGGTGAACTTTAATAAAGCTGCTACTCCTTGCTTTTGCTTCAGAAATGAAAAATGGCAGAAATAGGAATGAGAAAGGCCTGGAAGTGTTCTATGGACCTGTCTGAGTTCACACAACAAATTAAGCATTTCTAGTGGTAACTTGCTTTGTCCTAGGTACAATAGATGAGCCCTAAAAGTGTAGTTTGTAAGATATGATTTAGCATTGTATATACTAGGCCTCTATGGCTTCTTCAGCAAATGAAAGGAAACTGTGGCTTCACACATGTAGCAAATGAACAGGTAATCAGACCCAAGTGTTAACTATAGAAGACCAGGTTTATTGTCAATGTCCTAGAACAGGAATAATTAGAGTTGCCCCTGGCTAACTAATATACACATTTCCCTTTAATGTTTTGAAAATAAAAACATGGAAGTTTCTAACCAAATCTTGATTTTTTTTCAGGTGCCATTTGACATTCTTAGAACCGAAGAGGAAGCTACAGCCTAGTCTTCATTTGGATGTGTGCTCACCTGCCCAGGAAAAGAAACTGGGGTGGGTATGGATCAGAGGGAGGGAAGATGTGTGGAAGAACAGCTGGGGTAACAGTAGGCTTTCCCTTCTGATAATAATAGGTGTCTCTGTTGTGGCCATGTGTGTGTCACAGCAGCCATTGCATGAATGTGCAGCCATTTTGAAAGAGAGCCATGATATATTCTTACTGTCCCAAACGTTGCTTCTCTCACCTTGAGAAACTGTGCTCCGTTCATCCAGTGAGGCAAGTATTTATTATGGACTAAAAAGTGAAGCCTAGTAGATATTACAATGCCTGACTGACAGATCTCTAATTTTCCTAAGCAGCCTGGGTCTCCCAAGCTAGCTGCTGAGCAAAAAGGAAAGATTAATGAAAAGATATCAGAATGATAATGTTGTTCGATTAGGAACCCCAGAGCTATTTTTCACCCTACCCTGGGGACTGGAAGAAGGAACAAGAAAGAGAAAAGCAAGAGAAAGAGAAAAGTGAAATATGACAAAGAGAGAGACTATCAGCTCCCTTTGGCACCCCCACCTCCACTTCATGCTTCTCCAGTGGAGGAATAAGATACCTTCAGCATTATAAATAGTAGCACAGATGTTGACAGAAAAATGCTCCCTTAATTACCATATAAACTGCTTTCCTTGAGTGAACCGTTTAAAGCGGCCTCTAAAAGAAGCTCACTCAAGCAATTCCACCGATTACAGCTAATGAACAATATTTCCTTGCTCCTATTTAGTACTCATTAAAATGTAAAAGCCTTTCATTTTCAACAGGCTCATGATAAATAATATTTCCTCTTTCTAGTCTGAGTGCTAAGAATAAAGTAAAGAAAGGGAAGGAAGGCCATTTTACAGCAGGGCGAAGATTTTGAGGGGTAAATAAGTCTATTTGAGAGCAGCTGACAATTCATTGAGATTCCCACAAATGCTGCTATTGTAATGCCAGTGAAATGGGTTGCTTGTAATTTGAGCCAGGGGGGCAATTCTCAAAGAATGATGAGATAATTCAGATGGCCATTCCAAGTTAAATTCATTAATATTGTTATTTATGGCATTTCTATTCCACCTTTCCTCCAAGGAGCTTAAAGGAGTGTGTAAGGCTTTGTTTCTCCTTCTTGCCTCATTTTTTTTCAACTCCAAACTTTTAAAGCTATTTAGTTTGAAGGAGTTTAACAAGCTCAAAGTCATACAATTTCCTTTTGGACTTCCACATGGGTGAATAAGATTTGAATCCAAACCCTCCTTATCAATTCTAATTCACTATTCTAACCATTCGATAACACTTGCTCTCCGAGACAGGAAAAAGGAGAAGAGAATGATACAAACTTACTCTCAAGATAGGCTGAGGATAAAAATGCAAAGCAATCTTGACTTAATGGCATTAGAAAATGTGATTTAACAAAGGAATGACAGTTTATCTAGATTGTCAGACATTTCCTCAGTTGGCTTTGTACAGTTTGGCACACTAAGCCTATGGGTTCAGGCCTAATTAAGGGATTGTGAAAGCCATGGTCGCCTTTGCGAAAAAGAGATACTGATTCTCCTTGATCTTGCAATTGTTTTTGACATCTTTGAGCACAGCATACTTAATACCTGGCTCTGTAGATTCAGAGGATATAATCACATGCCAAAACCACAAAGGAAGAACGAAAGAGAAAGACCAAAAAAAAATCGTAGTTGGATAGAGCTGATGCCCAGGAAAAAAATAAAAAGTATGAAGAAGAATGGCAAACTACTTCTGAAAGAATCAACACAAACCTGAAGGCACACACACACACACACACACACACACAAACACTTCTTACTCCTTTGCATTTTGCTGTCTACCTGAAAATGGAATAACATTATATATACATGTATGTCCATATGCACACATATCTGTGTATGTTTTCAGCTCCCTTTTATTTTTTATCCTATGAAACCATATCCTGTTTAATTATTTGATTAAACAGGCAAATCTGCTAAACTTCAGAGGGTATTATTTTATTCAATACTATTGGTACTTTTCACCTGGCTTTATTTGTGCTTAACTAAGGAATTTGAAAATGGTCCAGCACCAAGCATTTTGGTTTTTTAATGTAGCCAATTTAACATTGCATTTGAAGTGATTAATTAATTTGTGATGGTTTATTAGGCAATCCTTCTGTCAATCAACATTTGCTGTGATCTCCATGCTGAGCACAGAATATGAAATGATTCTACGAAGAGTGAATAATGATGGCTAATATGTTAGCATCAAAGTGAGTTTGTCTGTGTCTTCACTGTATATTTAGATAAATAATCTCCATACTTGAAGGACAAAATAGAAAAATGCATAAACAGGTACTACTGTTGTATTATATAATCATCACATCCAAACTGTGAGCATCTGAGAAAATACTTTCATAAATATTATTCCAATAGCTTTTTTAGAGTTTCAGAGTGGCTGGAAATGAATAAGTTTCTTTTTGTTGTTGCTGCTGTTTGCTGTTGTTGTTTTGTTTTGTTTTCACTTTATCTCTTGGCAGGAACAAGCTTCATCTGCTAAATATCTGGCTGGCCTGTGGACTTTTAAAGATACAATAGCCTTGTCAAGTGGGGAAAAAAATAGTCACCAGCTTTAAGTATTTCCAATGATAGATCTATTACATTTGCAAAGAGATAATTCTTGCATTGTGTTTCTTGCAAGAAAGCAAATGACACAGCCCTATGAGACCCATGGACCTTCTTATCTATTGAGCTAAAGGAATGGATTGAATAAAGACTTGGGTAACCGAAATAAGACTTTACTGCTTTACGGAAGAAGATCAGGTTTAATATTATTTTTCTCTTTTCTCTGCCCCTTTAGCTTCCTTCACAAAGATGACTCTCTGTGCAGTAGAAATAGGAACCTTGTATACCTATGGTAAAAATGACAATCTCACTCCACCATCCTGCCTGCATATGAACAACAGATTTGTCAATGTGTGACAGGTTGACAGCCCAGCTCCCAGCTGCTTGTCCACTGTTGTTAAATCAGTACCTTGTCTAAGTGTTCAGCAAAAAGGCAGCCTGTTTCCTCCATTCACAGAGGCTAGGGTGGTTGCCAGTTAAAAACAAATAATGGCTTTAGGCTGCACTGCCATAATGCATTGAAAAGATGCAATCTAAACCCTTGTGTGCTCCTTAGGCAACACATAATTGTGCTGGAAGTTCAACCTCCTTTTGCAAAACAACAAAGACAAGTCTAAATGGGATCAGTGAAAGACAGCAGTGAGTACCTAAACTCAGTTATTTTAACTAATAGGACAATGAAAGTACAGTTTGGTTTGGAAAGTGGGGGGAGAGCTGTATGTGAGACAAGTGAAGGGTGTGTAGTATGTGTGTTACTTTGCTTTTGAGAGAAAGGATAAGGTGAAATTTGGCATCTACAAAGCTAGAACAGAAAACAAAATGCAAGGGAAGTGAAAATTCAGTGAATATGAATTTACCTGTAGTAGTTAAGACTTTCAGCAACATTAAAAAGTTTCCCCTTTTTGAAAAGAAATTGTTTGAAATTGTGCTCCCTTTTCAAGATTCCCATTTGTCCTCTAGAATGACATTCTGTAGCTTTTCTTCCTATTGTATTGTTTATTTATGAGGAGGAAATAATGCAACAGGTGAACTGACTATGATTACTAAGATCAGTTTGGGCCCAGCTCTGATCTGGAACAAAAACAAACTTAACATATTGTGAGAAACTTGCTATTCCTTTTTGCAGGTACTGTGGTCTTTGGAAATATCATCACACTTCTGGACATAGAAGCAAAGTACGCTGCTATACACTTAGTTGGACCTTTGATTCTTCTAGCACAGTATTGTTGGCTCTGGTTGGTAACACATCTCCAGCATTTCAGATCAAAGTTGCTCCACATAGCTCAAACCTGAGCTCTCTAACATGTCAAACAGGAGGAAAACATTGTTGACATTTGTGCTCACAAGAATTGGGAAAGGTTGAATCTGCAAACAAAATTTAAAATGCAACGTGTTCTTCAAAAGGATTATGCAAACAAGCCCAACTGGAGTAAAATTTCAGATACGATTGTCACATCTCAGCTTGAACACAGAGCAACCTTTGACTTAATGACAGTCAGTGGTGAACTAAGAAAGACTTGCATCCTAAATCTTAATATTTATTTCTTAGTAATTATGGGCTGCTGAATCATTAATAAGTATTATTTAAGAATCACCAGGTATACATTTGTACAATATTTGCTGTTGGCTCCAGAGGAGGTACTAAAAGAAATCCAATCAATAGAGTTATCAACGTCTTCAATCAGGTGCAAGGCAGATATAGGGCTCGCTATGGAATTTATTGTATTTATTTCAAAGTTCTCTTTCTACTGTCTATTAACTAGGCAGTGTGCAATAATAAAAACCTCAATATAAATGTACATTTCAGTAAAACAATCTGGTTAAATTTATATCATAAATCATCAAATGTCAAAGCATATTAAGAAAACGTTTTCAACATGTGTTTGAACTGTAATTGCATCAGTGGAGCAGTGGAATAAAGCATTCCAAAGGGTGGATAACAAAGCAGAAATGTCAGTTTTTTTGACGATCACCAAATGAACATTCTTACCTAAGCAAGAGAGTTTTCACATTAGGATTACCTGGACAGTTTGATCTATATGGGAGAAGTCATTTTGTCAAGTATCATGCTTCCAAGAATTTTGTAGGGGAAATGCCAAAGTCTTGAAGCAGCCCCTCTAGAAAATTAGTAGCTAATGTAAGGTGACAGGAGTTACACACCACACCATAATCTTGTCATTGCGGTTTTCATGAGTTGAAGCTTCTAGACCAGGGGTGTCAAACTCATGTTGTCACGGCAGTGTCACATGATATATCAGGATTTATCCCCCCATTGCTAAACCGGTGTGGGTGTGGCCAGCATGTGACGCATCTGGCCCATGGGCTGGGAGTTTGACAGCCCTGTTTTAGACCATGCAGACCCTACAATGTCCCATTAAAGAGATCCATTCAAGGCTTACAAAAGAATATAACCCTCACCCTGACAGCAATGATGAACATTATTTTCTTTAATATCACATTGGTGAGATGGGTGAAGACCTGCGTGGGATTGTATGGAAACTTTTACATGTACACTGTGATATGCAAAGGCCTTTTGCTGCAGACTAATGCACTTGAGGGGACTGACATACATTTATAGAAGAGGAGGTGCTTATTTTCTGCTCACATGATGAACTCTGCATTTCTTTGTAACACTTTGAAGGAGATGCAAGTCCTTAAATGTGTAATCCATCACCTTCATGGTGAGTTCTTCATCAACTGCATTCTTAACATCACCTAAGCAGTAGTGGGCTCCAATTTCTTTAACAACCGCTTCTCTGCTCTAATGATGGCTGGCGTGACTGGGTGGGTGTGCATGGCTGGGGGAGATTTCATGTGACTGATTGGGCATGGCCAACTCTACATCACTTGTGTGGCTGGTACCTGTATGGGACAGGCAGGGTTAGGGAGGGAATCCAGGGGTCTCCGGTGGGGTGGGGGGGGGAGGAAAGAAAGATCCGATCTGTGTGTGTGTGTGCGCGCGCGCGCGCGTGCGTGTGTGTGTGTGTGTGTGAGAGAGAGAGAGAGAGAGAGCATTTTGGGGCATTTTTGGGCTGATTTCAGGCCTTTTTAAGGCCATTTTCAGGCTGATTTTCGGGCAAATTTCAGGCCTGTTTCCAGGCTATTTTCAGTCTGTTTTTCAGGTCAATTTTGGCCCAACACTGGCCTGAAAACAGATTTCTTTTTGGGCATTTTTCAGGTCATTTTGGGGGCTGATTTTGGCTGGTAAAACAGCCTGAAAATGGTCCAAAAATGGCTGAAAATAGCCCCAAAATAGGCAGAGTTGAGGCCAGCTGGTGGTCCGAACCACACAGAATCAGAACAACCAGTTTGGGTGAACCGGTCCGAACCAGCAGCAGCCCACCTCGGCACCTAACCTGTTTTATTATTCATTTTTCCTATGAATACCAGAGTGCTCGGCATTCGGAAATGTTCAGTATCATCCTATTGAAAATGTTAGCTGATAATCCCATGAAAAGATTATTAATTATTCTTATTTTGTCATATACTGGATCACATGTAGCTTATCAGACACCATCCTGCAAAGTAAAAATGGTGAAGAATTTCCTTTTATTCTAAGTCAGACATTATATATATATCCCAGAGATTACAGAAATACATGATGTATTTAAGTGTTAAGTTTTCTTCTAAGTTTTTTTTTTGTAAACATACTGATCTGGACATAAACTCTACTAAAATTAACAGAACTTATTTCTAGCTACTTATTTTTTTCAGCTGAACAATAACAATGCAAATAAATATGAAAAAAGGAATGCAGCATGGTTTCAATTATATTCTGATTTAGGGGAATAATTTGGCTATTTTACTGTAATTAAGTGTTTGCCTTGGAATCAATGAGAATTAAAATTGATTATGTGCTCAACTTAATTGGTACAACTTAGACTTCTAAATTGCTTCATTTTAGACTCCTTCTCGTTTCTCCCTCCATCACATTGGAAACCCTGGCTTCTCTTCTTATAGTGTGTTTCGCCATGATTAAAGTTTTCAGCCTCTGGCTACAGTGTTCATTTCTTGCATGTTGGAAAGCATCTCTGTGTTTGCTGGCTCAGACAAGCATATAAAGAACAGTAGGTGGATTGGCAGGTGACAAACATGGCCACAGAGCAAATGAAGCATATAAAAGAGATCTTATACCTATTCTCATAACTCTCTCATTTCAGTCTATGACAAATTCTATACCTAATCTGTTGGTAATGACTTGCTCCCATGAATTAAGATATTAGCTTTCCTATATTTTTTTTTTTGATTTGATTTTATTGACATTTGTAGGCCGCCCTTTTCCCTGAGGGGACTCAGGGCGGCTCACATAAAATCGGGGAAGG